TAAGGTCAGAAACTTGCTTTAGTTATAAGGCAGAAGGCAGTCAGTAAAAGTAGAAGTAGCAGACCTTAATATTAGTATAAGATATTCTTTAGTTAACTAAAGTTAGTATAGTTGATCGAATTCTATCTATCCCAAGAACGGTTTAAGACCGATTTAGTGCACTTAATTAACTAACTAATTTATATATACACAAGTCAATAGAAATGGATAGCAATAAAATTAAAATTTAAGCTTGAAGAGTCTGTTCTACTTAGCACCTATAAGTAGAGCAGACTCAAGATTAATTGATTATTTATTCAATTTTTAAAAACATTTATCACACCTGAAATCCGAAATTAATAATAATTATTTAATTATCAGAAGACAAATGTTAATTAATCTCTCTGTACATTTATGCTATTTATGCTCTTTTCCGTTTTCTCCCTCTCTCTTTACCAAGTTCAATCTCTGCTTGTCACTCTCTCTCTCTCTCTGTCGGTCTCTCTGTCCCTTCTCTGCCTACTGTCCCTGTCCCTGTCTCTGTCTATTTATCTGTTTTTCTCTCTCTCTCTTACACACTCTCACTGCTTGTTGTTCAATTATTTCTTTGCTCTCTCACTCACTTACTGTGTCTGGGGTCCCTCTTTCTCTCTGTCTCTCTCTCTCTCCTTCTCTGCAGCTCACTATATAATACTATAAAAATGTATGCCTATTTTTTGTTTTTCCCTAAAAAAGGCTTTTCCGCTCACTTTAAAGTATTACCCCTATTCTATATAGAGCGCGAGGTATTCAAAATGATGTCAGTGCCACGAGCTAGAATAGATTGCGACTATTTCAAGATAAAAATCGGAGACAACTTTATATCTGCAAGTCAGCCGCAAAAATGCAACAGCGAGGTGATAATCGTACAACATAAAGCTCTGTTGCTAGAGAGACCTATAATGCCTATAAGCAAAAGAGATAAAGTACAAAGAATAATTAAGACATTGCATTGTATATAGTTTATGGGATATATACAATGTGTGTGGCTTTATTGATCCAAATTGTATTGAAGCAAACCCGACTTTTACGGCTAATTTGCTTTGGGTAACCACAATTATTTAATGGACTCCACTAATATCCCGATAAGATAGATGCCAGGAAATGTCAAATAAAATGCAAACAAATCAAAGTATACACAAATTAGTGCACCTATTAAAATGCAATCACAGCTGATATCTTTCAAAGATGTCTAATACTGAAATTTAGTGTGCTGTACGACACGCAAACAAATGCTTACCCCGCCCCCTCCATATGCACAGATAACAATCCCCAACAAGTTAGAACAACTGTTGTGTTTATTCAGCTCCACACCGAGCCCATTGAAAGTTGGTAAGCGGGGCATATTGGTTTTGGTAATGCGATTGGAACGAGTTGAAGTAGTTGAGGTCAACTTAATTAAGTTAATAAATTCATAAATATTTTAGTATATACTAATTCTTTTATATGAATGCATTAACGCACATCGCTCAGATCTCAATAGATTCACTCTAAAATTTCGCTACTCAGGCTCTTTACTCCTTCGATTCACCCACAAGCAAATCTAGCACATCTTCGGTCTGCAAAGCATCTGCTAGTCGAGCACTCCCGTCAAGAGCACCCTTGCCGGCCTTTTTGCACTGTTCTTGATTTAGTGATAAATTTTTTCGCTTTTTGTATTTGGCGATTTGTTTAAACAATTTACACGTCGTTTCATTTATGGCGATTACAAGCCAAAGACTATTAATTTTATTTTCAACAG